ATATGATACTTATGACTAAGTAGCATATTATTACTAATTGAAACTGCAATGTTAAAAGTTTTGTTGGAGTGGGAAACGGCGGGTCAGGAATTTTATTGTAAAAGGTCAGGAAAAACCTGCAAAAGTCAGGATATTGTTTTCTCAAAATATTGTAGGAACCCTGAAATATTAACTAGGTTATTATAGGTTCTATTTTTAATAATAGGTTCTATTATTAACTAATTATTATAGGTTGTCAAAGGTGTGGCTATTTATTATTATTATATGAATTTTATTTCGATTTCTGGAAATAAGAAGGGAGTAATTCTCTTTTTGGTCATCAATGAATTTTTTTTAATATAAAATTTTAAGTAAGTCGAGAACTATCAATGTTTCAAACAGTAAATAGATAGTATGTTCTTATAAGGAATTTTGCAATACTTTTTTTTAACTAAAGAGACAAATAACAAAACCAAAATTTGTTATTTTAATTTAAATACTTTTATCATTTTATGTTAACTCACTAAAATATTAATTGTATGCATTGGTTAAAACTAATAAATACCACATGGCAGGCAAACTAGAAGCCCAAATTATGGAGTATTAAGTAATATTAATATTAAATATTTAATATTTATTTTAAAAATAAGGAATTTTATTTTTATAAGAAAAATTATCAATTATGAATAATACTAAAACCATGAAAAAGTTATGCAAAAGATGAATTGTATATCTGTGTATATATTTGAATAAAATGCTATTTTAGTTGTCCTGTTAAATTTTTTTATTATTATACGTAATCTCAGTAAGAAAAATTATGCAATTATCATTAAAATTATTTATAATCTCATAATTTATATCTTAGGTTCAATTCTGTTTGTATCTTAGATTCAAAAAATCATTATTTTTATTTCATTGTTTGGTAAAATCATATTTAACTGATGTTATTAGCTTTTTATAACTAAGCAATTAAAAGTAAATAATTAAAAATGTAGTGTGCATAAAATTGGGAATGCATTCAAAATAATTTTTAAAAAAGAGAGAAATCTTCAGGTACTCCTTAAAATATTCCTTTACAATGCGACCGCCAGCTAGGAATTTTTCGCCCAAAAGGTAACCCCCATCTTTGAACAAGTTGTCAGAACCCAAACAATAGACTGGCTATCTCTACCCTAATATCTCCTCTAAAATAGTAATTGGCAAACCCTGTTAATTAATGCTATTATATCACTACTTACATTATAATAAAATTGTTTTTTATTTTTTATTGATTGATTTAAGAAAGGAAAAGTTCTTAATTTTTTTCAAAAAAAGTCCTTAATTTTTGCTTTGTTAAAAGAGTGGGAACCCTGTTATGAATAATAATTGCAGATAAAATTTCAAAAAAAATAATGGTTTGTTTATTTTAAAGTAACATCACAAATATTGAATTTTAACACTTCGCGTCATGAGGCTTATTTCTTATGATATTCAATGGAGAGAAATGCTTTCCATATTAATTAATCCATTTTAAACATTTACTTAAAAGGTTTATTATTTTAAAGATTTAAGCAATCGTTTTTAGCTTTGTATATTTTGAAGACTTAAAAGACTATGTTTGCACCACTAAAAATATACTTTACCCTGTTTAAAAATTCTTCAATTCTGAATATATTTTGATTTAGTTAAAAACACAAAGATAGACAGTGACTTTAAGCCAACCAAATGGAAATATAGTCTTTGCATTTGAGATGCTTCATTTAAAAAGACAACTAATATAAGTAACATTAATGTAATTATTAAGCAGCCAGAAATATTTTTTTTAAAAATTTTTATTACAAAAAATAAAGAATTAATTTAGTTTGGAAACCAACTACTGTGTTATTTATTAATATTTTTTTTGATGTTTTTATCTTGATAGACTTCTATTTTTATTTCAAAATATAAAAATTTTTCTCACTTAAAAAATATTGTGCATGGTCAATATGTGCTAGTGTTTGATTCTGCCTAAACAGATAATTATGGAATTTTAAATTTACTGTTAATAAAAAGTTGACGCTGATGATCAACTTGAATAAATCTGTTTCTATTCCTCTTGTAAATATTTCACTGCAAAATAACTAAATATTAATATATTTATTAAAGTAGAACATAAATTTGAATAATACTCTTTAAAATTTCTTGTTTTAAATTTTTACTTCATTATTACTGTATTTGCATTTCAACGAAACTATTGAACAGGTTGGTATTTTTTAAAATTGAACTTATGGTATTAAATTTAATTTTTATTTTTGATCACCATTAAAATTTATAATAGTTTATATTATGAATTTTTTTTTCTTGCAGCAAATTTTGCTTTTATTTGTCATAATTTATGGGTAGTGCGCAAAATGAAATTGAATGTCTTAATATTAATAACAGGATCTAACATTGAGTATGCTAAATAATTAGTGCAGATTATATTTTAGTTACTAAATCAAACACAAAACATACTTTTACTAAATAACCATGCCTACCTGCCAGGTCTCCTGTTTTTTTAAAGAAGACTATAACTTTCTCCTGTTTACCCATATATTCTCCAATTTAATTTTTTTGAAATGTTTTGTTGTATTGGTTGAAAGTTTTAAAAAAAAAATTTTTTAGCAAAATATCCATTGATGGCAAAAATACTTCTCTTATTCCTCAACAGATGGTGCTATTGCCAGTACTGCAGTATGTTGAGTGTTAATAGTTTTAATTATAAATAATGGTTTAAAAAAAACTTTAGATGAAGTTTAATATAATTGTTTACTTCACTAAATGTAAGTGCTTTTATTTCCAATTTTGAATTTCTCTTTTTGACTTACATGATTACGCATGATGCATCAAAACTTTATTCATAGCATAAAAAAATGATGCTAATAAAATCTCTGTTATTTTATTTCTCTAATGTTGGCAGGTATGACCATTTTTTTTCTTCCTTCAAAGCATTTAAATTCTTGACCCTGAAGATATGGGAATTGCCTTAATCTGTAAAATAAGGTTTCTATAATTTAGTCAAGGGAGTCACTGAAAGTTGATGTTAATTTTTTCTTTTTACATTTTTTGTCATTTTTGGGGAAAGCCATATTTTTTAATTTCTATTTTTTAGGAACTATTCAACAGATGTAATTTTGAATTTTATCCTGTAAAGATTTATATACAGTGCACTCCCGATTATCCGAGTTAATCACCGGGACAGGTCGCACAGACAATCGAAAAACACGGATAATCCGAAAACTCCTTTTATTAAAGAAAAATTCAACATCAGTACAAAAAATATAAAAATTACTGACATTTGCATGCATAATATCAAACTAGGAATTTTCCTTATTGAAAAATGTGTAATGCGTCTTCGCCATATATCGATATACACGTTTTACGAACCGCAGTAATGTCCCCGTAATCAAATCCTCCCATATAATCTAATGAAGTTTCAACAGAGCAGCAGAATGAGAAATTGTATTTCATTCATTTACTACATCTTCTGCATCAGTTACTATCATCACTATTTGATTTAACAACATAACAATGTCTTCATCAGTCAAATACTGGAAGCCAGACTCACAAGCATCACTTTGAAACCAATCGTATAAATTTTCTTCATCAAGAATTTCGAAACCTTCGATTTCTTTTGCTTGTTCGAGAATACTGTTATCGTATTTTTCTTGAACATCTGAAGAGGATTGTTCATCAAGCGGTATGATCTTTCTCCAAAATCGTGATAACGTAGACGATTTTACCTTTGACCATGCTGCTGATGTTCCATATACTTCAATCCGATAACAAATATTGCTTCTAAAAATTTGGTAGTGTTATAGCTTCATGAATCAAATTTTTTTAATCTTGAAAATGTTTCTCTTTATATTTTTTGCGTGACTCTGGAATGAGCACGGATAATCCGCGCACGGATAATCGATAGTGTACTGTAGTAATAAATTAAGTAGCCTAGAAAATCTTCTGACTTACAGTTTAGATTTTATTTTATTTTTTTTACCATTAGTAAATTAAATAATTAAAAAAAGTAATTATAACTTTTAATTTTATAATTACCTCTTTTTTTAAATTTGTTTCATTAGTTTTGGAGATACAGTGAACTGCTTAAAGAGTGACATTATTATAGTTTAACTTTCGACGTCTGCTCTCTGAAACTTTAGGTATTAGGACCAGCTTTTATGGCCTCTCCCCATATTTTAAGAATCAAAAATCTAAATCGAAACAATTTTATATTTGCTCCGAGAAAGTAGGTACATTTTTGTATCTGATTTTGTAATCTAAAATATCACGTGCACAAATTTATTTGCATATTTAAGGATAGTTCTTCAAACCATTCAGAAAATCGAAGCGTTAGTTCAAAAGTTACTATTTATTTTTTTGAATTAAAAAAAAGCTATTGATCTGATGAAATATTTTTTTAATAGATGACTATTTTTTCTTTGTGTGTCTACAAAATATGTGATACGACATCAAATTTATAAGATATTTACTACTAAAACTCTGTCATAGTCATAAGATATTTTTTTATTGATATTAGTAACTTGGTCTTTTATTTGTTACTTGAAATAAAAAAACTATTATGTACAAAACTTAAAATTTGACCTGATGCCCTACTATATTTCAAAATACTGTTTTGCTAGAAATGTTTTGTGTATTTGAATAATCGGAAACAGCAGTTGGTAACTTTTTTCCTGGATTTTTTTTTCCAGGTAATCTTGATCTTAGCTTTGTCAGATTGCATAATAATGTTATATAAAAGCTAGTTGGAAAAAAATTGGACTTTTTTTTATTATTATTTCTTTAGTGGCTTACATAAAAAAAAATTTTGTTCTTTCTACTGAACAAAACTACTTGGAAAACAATGCAGTTTTTCTTAGGATAATTGCTCTATTTAATTGCTTTAGATCAATTTTATTCTTTTTTCTAATAGATTGAATGATTTTGAATCATTAGGTTTAAAATGTTGTCAAGTGGTTACTTTATTTAATGAATGAGCTTAAGAATATTAACAGCATGATTTCTTCTAGCTACGTTGGCCAACATGAGAAAACACAACCCATGGATGAGGACTCTGAGCAAGATAAGAAGCAGCAAGCTGAGTCTCGAAAGCCACAACCATCATCTTCTAGGCAACCATCTATGATTGACAGCTCCTTCTCTTCTAATGCAACTGGTAATTCTTTTCTCACATACCTTACAATACTATTTAAACAGATATTTTTAGATCAGATTAAAAGTAGATAGATTTCGAGTTATCTCTGTTTGTACAAGTTCGATTTGAAACGATTCTGTCATAATTTCAGGTCGTTGGATGATAGTTTTTAAGTAATTTATCATTTTCCTGCCCTTCACACAATTTTTCAAATTCTGACATTTCTTATGTGATATTATGTTTTAATTTGTTGTCATGCTGTTTAATGATAGTTTTTTTTTCTTTCTTGGAAGTTAATTATTTTTTGATTCTTTTCGCATTCTGATATTTCAATACGATGTTATGACATTCAAATTTGAGTAATCCCTCTTTAGCATGTTCAATTGGTGATTAATTTATCATTTCGATTATTCAATTCAAAACGATTCTATCATAATTTCAGGTCATTGATTGATAGTTTTTAAGTAATTTATAATTTTTTTGTTTTTCATTCTTGATTTTTCAAATTTTGACATTTCGTATGCGATGTTATTATGTTTTAATTTGTTATCGCTTTCTGGAGAGTTTGATATCTAACAATTAAACTATTATGTCATGTCGTTTGATGATATTTTCCTTTTTTTCTGTATTGGTTAATTATCATTTTTTAGTCCTTTTCACATTCTGATATTTCAATAGGATGTTATTATGACATTCAAATTTGCGTTTGGCATGTTTGATTTGTGATTTATTTATCAATTTTCTTGTCTTTGGATGATAATTTGGCCTTTTTTTACATGATTTTTTTTGGCTGTTAGTTTTTAAGAAATGTATCATTTTTTTGATCTATGATGTGCAAAAATATATTTGTCGTATTATTATCTATAGGCTTAGTGCAAGCATCATCTCCTTCCAATTATGATAAATTGTGCCTGTCCCTTTTGTGTGGTCTTCCCAATGAGCAGGAGTTGGCCCTCAATGTTTGCACCATTCTCTCCAATGAGGGATCTTATATGCTTCAGCTGGAGCAAGCACCCAAGTTAGTCGACCTACTCATTGCTCAAACAGGAGTTTGGCGATTAGGTAAGACCTTCATTTTCTTTGTTTCCTACTTGTGTATCTGAATTGGGCAAGATGTAATAACTCTTATTAATTAAAGAAATGGCATTGCAGATTAACTTTTACTGTTCTGTAGAGAAGAATGCTCTTTATAACTTTGTATTTTATTCAACTTCAGGCATATATAGGCACTTTTCGCAATAATTTCTCAAAAGTTATACAAAATGATGTGTAGAACAAAATATACAAGTTATTCTAAGAATACTGGTGATACATATTCTAGTCGATTGTCATACTATATATTAGAATATGTAAGCATTTGTCTCTTATTGACCCTTAAAGAAATGGTATTGCAGATTAACTTTACTGTTCTGTTCTTCAGAGAAGAGTGCTCTTTGCGAAATGATATGCAGAATAAAATATATAAGTTATTCTAAGAATATTGTTAATGCATATTCTTGATGACTGTCTTACTATATTAGGATATGTAAGCATTTGTCTCTGTAAATCTTTCATAAGATAGTAAATTACTTTAAAAAAAATTTTAATGTATTTTGGAGACAGGACAGTAAAGACATTTTACTTATATTTTACTTATTTAAAAATATTTTTTGAATGCTAAATGTGTTGATGGCATTTTTTTTTTCTTTTTTTCTTTCTTTTTTTTTCTACTCCTTTTGAGTATTTTAAACAAAATGTATCATTAAATAAGGTAATAAATATTACCTAAGGAAAATAAATATTACTGCTTAGGGACACAAAAGTTTACATTACCATTAAAGTTACATAATCCATTTGTATTGAAAACAGGATTGGCAAAATTCATGATTTTTTTATTTTATTTATTTATTTTTAATATTTACCAGTTACATCACCTGATAAATATATCAACAGTACTTAATATTATTTAAAAACAATAAAGCTAAAATAGTTGATATTTTTAACTTAAATGTTCAAAAATTATTTTTTAATCATTAAAAATTAATCATTAAATAAATAAGATCAGTTTATTTTTGTTCAAGGTGAACATCCTAAAATTTTAAAGACAGGGTGGTAATTTGTCAGTTAGGTATCCAATAGAGATTAGTTTAGATCTGAATACATTAAAGGAAAAAAATTATTGTAAATTTCACGGATCGGAGCATGTTTTATTCTTCAGTACTAGTAAACTCTTAACTACTACATAGTATTTCATTTGTTTTACAGTATATGTTAAAATTGAATAAATAAAATTAAAATATCAGCAAGTTATTTTACATGTAACTGATGAAAAATCATAATTTAACAGTTTAACATTACTCACAGTTTTAGTCTCTAATTTTAATTATTTATCAGTCTATTTTGAAATACAACAATTTTCCTTATCAGACTTTAACTAGAATCACACCCTAAAGAATGTATATTTATGAAACTATTTTCCTCCTGATTTATTCAAAAAAAAAAAAAAAATCAAGTGATTTAAATCATGCCAATCCTGTTTAAAAATGTTAGTGTTTGCTAAATTTCTTATTATTTTTCTCTTATTCCATTGAAATGAACATTTATAGATATTAGCTTTTATTAAAGATGAATGAAACAGTTGTGTACATAACATTGTTTACTATTACTTCAGATGATGATTCTACAAAACTCATGTATTTAGAGAGTTGGCAGAACTTGGAGGGTCGAAAAATGTGCCAATTCTGGCAAAGCACTTTAGATGTTAAATTTGAAACGCTTTTGCAGTTATTGGGATTTACAATAGGTATTTATTATCTAATTTTTGATTGTAAAATTGTGTTTAACTGTTTGGTTCCCTAGGTCTGAAATTTTCAATGTCTTTAAAATACCAAGTGGCCCTGAAGTGTGTTGGATAATTCTCAGCAAGTAATGATAATCAACTCACCTTATAAAGGGAAGTGTTAGGAATTTGAAATCTGAAACTTTTCAGGGACGAAAGCCCAGTGGCAGAACCAGAGCGACATTGTCGCAGATCAGTACAGAGTTCTTGCAGAAAGATTTTTTCTTCGGGAAGCAACAAAGTTTTTTTTTTTTTTTTTTTTTTTTTTTTTTTTTTTTTTTTTTTTTTGTCTGCAGAATTTTTCAAAATATTTTTTCCTGCAGAATTATATTTAAAAATTGCCTTTCTTGCACATTGGTGATGGAATAAATGCTCTTGATTTTTTTTAACTTTCTTTTGAGAATAAAAAAATTCTTCTATGGCCGACTTTAGCTGGAATTTCAGATTGATATTATAAAAAGTAATTTCTAAATTATGCAAAAAAAAATTTAAATAGGAGAATATTGCCAATAACATTAGAATATGTAATTCTTTTATATTTAGATTTTAAAAAAAAAAATTCTTGCATTTATAAATAAAAAATTATATACTGTTCTACTCTATACATGAAGACTTTTTCTTTATAATCAGAAAGTGCTTCCATTGCTTTAAATTAAATTAGTAACATTTTTAATAGAATTGCTACTATTAAAAATGTCTTTCAGAAAGGTATTAGTACTAGAGAGAATTGTAGCAGAAAGCTTGAAAAAATTCTGCTACCAGCAAAGGAGTGTTGCATGTAGAGAAAACTCATTATTTTCTGCTTTCTTTGATTTTTGTCTCATTTCCTGTTTTAAAAAAAATTAAAACTAAAATCAATAATTAAAAATACACTTTCTCAAAAATTTCTTACCTGCATGTTTATTTATTTATTTTATCGAGGCTATTTTTTGCAGTCCATTATTATAAAATTTGATGTTTGAAGAAAAATGTTTTTATTCACGTTTAAAGTTATTTCAGTGACCATTAACACAATGAAACTTAATTATATAATCCCAATATCCCCATTCTCGAATTTAAAATTTATTCTTAAAAAGTTGATAGTAAAAGTAGAGTATATTCATGTTACTCAAAATGTTTGCTATCGTTATAATTTTATTTCAATATGATTCGGTTTGATAATTGAAAACATTGAGATTAATGGCTCTTTCTTAATTAAAATGTGTAATTAATAACAGTTGAAAATGCAATTGATAAAACCCATATGGATTTACCATAATATTGTTGCAAATTGTACATCAAACTGCACAAATGAAAAGCTCATCAAAGTGAGAATAACAGTTTTTAAACATGAATGGCTTAGAATAGTGAAAACTAACTGTCATAGGTAAATACCAAAAACAGAGATGCTTTAAAAATGTTTTTAAAAAAAATACTGTAAACTACAGAGCCAATTAGAAAGCATAAATGACTCCATTTATTTATTTTTAAGGACTTCAACTGTGGATTGGTGATTTATTAAAATAAAATTGTTAATGTCAACAGTTGCATAGTTGACACTCCATTTTACATTACATTGATGTGTATCTATTTGTTATTTCTTGGAATTTTTGATTGTGTTATATTTTAATAATTACATTGTTAGTGACCTTACAGTTTGTGTTTTTATCTTGCAGGGGAGTATGAATCTTATCGAGACCTTTTCAATGTTGAAAATGATTTGGGCTCCTTGAATGCTGAAGGGCAAAGAGTGCTGCGGGTAAATACAAATTATTTAAATAATTATTAATTTAAAAAAAAATTTATATGAATTTTATTTGAATTACTTGTTTTCAATTTTTTTTTAACTTCATTTTTTTAAACTTGTTTTTAAAATTTTGATCTCTCAAATAAAAAATTTTTATCCAGAAAGTCGTAGGTCTTTTTACAGTTTTAGTAAGTCTTCAGTACTGTTCTAATAAGCTAAATCTCGTTTATGCCATTACTCTTTTAAATCTCTTTCCCTCCCCCCTCTTCTAAAAAGCTGAAAATTTAATCATTCACATTTATTGTAATGCATTTACTGATGCTTGACATCGGTGATCTGATCATTAAGACCAGCAGATCACCGATGTCAAGCATCACTGGCTGTGGTCATTGTGCGGGTGGGTGACCACTTGGATCGGTCTGCGTAGGGACCGAGAGTGTGCGGTATTGGTCCCCGTTTAACTGTTCTGCCATAAAGTGCACGACTTCGCATGCAGGTCATTGGGCTGCTGAAGCGGGGGTGCCAATACCTCTGCAGAGGATCAAAATTGTGATGGCATTTCTTCGGATGATCCTCAGGGATGTTTCCGAGACCGTCACCAATAGACCATTGTGCATCTCTAGTGCGACGTAAATGGACTACAATAAAAATTTTGGGCTCTTAATAGAAATTAACTAATGTCTTTCATAGTGTTTAACTATTCCATATAACTATTAGTTAATGTTTCAATAACAAGTCAAAAATATCCGCTTTTGTTCCATAAATATACTAGCATAGTAATAATAGACAAAGAACTAAATACTTTCAATATGCTATGTTATTTTAAAACTCCATTTAGCAAGCAAATAAACAATTAATATTTAAATTTTATTTTAGTAATGTATGTTTAAGAATGGTTTTTCCTTTAGTAGCTTCTCTGTAATATAACGATGCAGTACTTCAGTGTTATTTATTTAATATCGTTATTTAGCTGTATACAATTTATAATTAAAATTATTTATCAAGTTTTATGAAATTGAATTTTTTTTTTTTAAAGTCTTGTTGCGAATCAATATCAATTTGAAGATATTTAAGTCTCTAAATCCTATATATTTTATATTAATAATAATTAAAAAATACTTTAAAATGATGAAAAGGATATATCTTAGAAATATCTTTTGAGATTTTAGTTGCTGTTTGTATTTTTAACACTTTAAATTGCTGTTTGTATTCATTCACATAATTCATTTTTAAGAATTTGCAAAACTGTTGGATAAAAGAGTAAGTTTTTTGAATTGTGTATGTAGATAGTTTATATTGTTATCTTGCTCGTTATAATTTTATTTCAATATGATTCGGTTTGATAATTGAAAACATTGAGATTAATGGCTCTTTCTTAATTAAAATGTGTAATTAATAACAGTTGAAAATGCTATTGATGAAACCCATATGGATTTACCATAATATTGTTGCAAATTGTACATCAAACTGCACAAATGAAAAGCTCATCAAAGTGAGAATAACAGTTTTTAAACATGAATGGCTTAGAATAGTGAAAA